CCCCCCCTTTCCAGCATGGCATTCCTTTCTTCCTCTGAGATAGACCAGACGTCATTTCTCACATTTTCCACTTGTATTTCAGGAACATTCAAACATTCAACGCTCTCACCTTTTCCTTCATATTTTAAAGTCAAGTAATCCAATTTTTTTTCAAATTTTTGAAATGAATCAAACAGCTTTCGAAATGCAGAAAGAAGAATCTGAAGTGAGCCCTTAGGGATATATTCCGACGCCATGTTGTGTCGTAGTTAGAATTGCAAATAAAAACACGCTGGAAGCTGTGCGTTCTTATCTGATCTTAAACACAGCCAAGCAATAAAAGTGTCAGATCGTGAAGGGCTAATTAGTAGAAGGTTAGCTTTACAACCCACTTAGAAAGATTTTGGTTTTTTTGTGTTACTTTTTGGAACTACTTTAACTGTGAGTGTGATAATAGCACAAATGTACTATTGTTATAGTGCAGTTACAATGTTATAACTGTTGCCATATAAATAGAAGCTTCTTGGCAGTGGAGTTCCTCAGGCCTGCCTTTGCTTGTCCTAAGTTATATGTGGTTCAGGAGCGGTCCCGCTCTATGGCACATGCGGCGCCAGGGCTTCGGCAGGGCTTTCGCGCTTGCCTCACCGGCCATGAAGCTCACCGCATATCACTGTTCAGGAGTTCATGATCACCATGGCAAACATTTCAAGGTTAATTGAGGCCCAAATTAGCTGGGGGAGGTGGAGCAGGGGAGAGATGATCCACTAGATCTGGTTTTGTCTTGAAGCAGTGGTTAACATGATTTGAAGTTGGGGGATGTTGTCCTCAACCCATTGCCATGGATAGATGGTCCCCTGCTTTGAGATTTTCCAGGGCTGCCCTCCAATCAAAGAAGGGGATTGGTTGAACTGGTCTATCCCAGGCATGTGATGGACCCAGTGGGATCCAGAGGAAACCTAGGTAGTTTCTGAAGTTTTAATGCATGGTTTGATGGAGTCCTTAATTGTTGCTTGGAATGAATAAGCAACGATGGCTTTGGATTAGTTTGTGCTATGTGGATTCTCTATGCATGAGGGTTTTAGAAGGCCTCTTGGTTTTCAGAGAAACACCAGGAGATGAAGTAGCATAAGAAACCCCTAAAGGAGGAAGATGAAGAGCAAGTCCAACTGACACAGGTAAGAGGGGACTTCCTTTTGGTGATAAAACATGTATATTTCTCTGTCCTTTTTCCATCCATGAACAACTGCCTGGGAATCCTCTTTCAGGTAACGCAGGGCCTTCTAGTAAGGAGAGATTAGATGACTAATTGCGGAGTCACTGTGAGAATTTTGTTGAATATCTGTTAGATTAAGTGTTTTAGATTCATTTTAATCTAGATTCACTAAAGTCACTCACATGACTTTAAACATGCTGATTCACTGTAGGTGATTGAGCCAGTTTTGTCAATTATGTGAATTGAGTTTAATCTGGTGACTCCCAAGCAAGTTGACAGAATCCTTGGGACTCTTGACCTCTACCACCTGTTTGTTAGGTCTATGTCCATTCCATTGGTCAGGTCCTCTTAGGAAGTGATACGTAACTGGATTCAAGAAGTGATGTATGGTATTTTAACCTGTCTTGGAGGAGGTGGCGCAGTGGTTAGAGTGCAGTACTGCAGCCACTTCAGCTGACTGTTAGCTGCAGTTCAGCGGTTCAAATCTCACTGGCTCAGGGTTGAC